AACCAGTGTTTGGTTTTGTTTTACTTATTGTTCTTGTCTAGTTTAGGAGGGCTGTTTGTTTTATTATCTGAGTTTACTCAATAAAGTATTTAATTGCACATTTACACACATTTGGTACTGATTTCATAGACATATTTGAAAAATTATATTTCATCCATCATCTTCCGCTTTATCCGGGGCCGGGTCGCGGGGGCAGCAGCCCAAGCAGAGAAGCCCAGACCTTGCCACCTCCTCTAGCTCATCCGGGGGAACACCAAGGCGTTCCCAGCTGAGAGATATAATCTCTCCAGCGTGTCCTGGGTCTGCCCCGGGGCCTCCTCCCAGTGGGACATGCCCAGAACACCTCAGCCAGGAGGCGCCCAGGAGGCATCCTTGTCAGATGCCTGAACCAAGCCTACCACAGACATGAACGAGAGAGAGAAATATAAAGTCATGCCATCTCGGACGTCACCCTAATCAACAAAGTCCGAGACAGGTGTCTAGGTACCAGGGCACCCTGATGAGAAGTGGGGAAACCTGGATCCCCCGTAGCCAGTTACCAAGACTACGTGAAGTACCCTCAGAAGATTTACTAGATGATGTGATTGCAGCACTAAGAATGATACCTGTATGCTAAGCGGAAAGGAGGAGGACGGAGACTGGTGAGTGTCAGTACCACGGTCGAGGATGAGACAAGGAACATCCACAAATACATCAGGAAGATGGCAACACATAACAGCAGGGTGCAAGATGCTAGCAGGCAGGGCATACATGGAACGCCATAACCAAGTGGCCGGCATAGTATAAATGCCAAATATGGCCTGGAAGTCCAGAGGTCAAAATGGGAGCTCCCCCTAGGGTGGTGGAGAATGACTGAGCTAAGATCCTGTGGGACTTCCGGATGGGGGTGACTAACCAACCGGATATAGTGGTGGTGGCCTCTGGTAGAGTCCCACATAGATCGCCAGTAGGGGTGAGAGGACCAGGACCAGGTTATGTACACATGATTTTATAAAACATAGGTCAGCATTCATTAAAGATAAAGCGTGTGTGTGTGTGTGTGTGTGTGTGTGTGTGTGTGTGTGAGTGTGTGTGAAAGAGAGTGAATGTGACAGAAAAAGAGAGAGTGAAAAACATTTTTGGAGGAAAATACTGGATAATATAGAACTGTCTGTGATCAAGCCACATAAATATTCTTTTTTGATGCGCTTCCAAACACTCTTCATTGATTATTTACATTTGCTTACATCCTAACGTATTTTAATGCCCTCCTTTTATTTGTTTAAATGTTTCCAAATACTCAAGCACTGTTTAATTGCAAACTGAGACCTGAACAGCAGCCACATGAGTGAAATAGAGACAGAAAGAATTGTTATTGTTCATCATTAAACCGTTCATAGTAAACCCTTAGTATTTCCTGTTGTGACAAGCATTTCCTAATCAAATGAAGTCACCCTGCCCTTT